CCAGCCCTGCCTACATAAGGCACCAAATTCCCATCCTTCCAGTACAGTGCCACTGAGACCAATTGTTTCCCAGCCATGCTGAGCTGGGGGGCCAGGGCTCGGCCCCACGCCTCCTGCTGCGTTGGTGCCAGCCAACGCTGCTGCTTCTGCCAGCCCTGCTGCTTTCCAAGCCCTGAACTACTGACAGTGCTTCACTGCAACACTTTATGCATATCAGCAATCATTTGTTTTTACAATTCTGGGTTTTAAGCCACGTTGCTACACAGGGAATGGCTGAGGATTTTGTCCTCAGGCTCACTGAACCTGGGGTGGCCTTTATTGCCCCTGAGGAAGAAGTGCTGTGGAACAAGAAGGCATGAAGGAGGCTGGGACCACAGGAGGGTGCAGGTGTGATGGAGCAGAGAGGGATGAGGGCAGGAAGGGCGGGCAGGAGAAGCAGGGAGGGCAGATGAAGGAGGGGTTCATGTCTAAGGAAAGGGGTGAGACAGGGCAAGGTTGATGGAAGGCAGGAAGCCAGGTCTGTACTGCACAGCAGATGAGGAGCAGAGCTAAGAGCCCTAATCTCAGGCTCATTTGGATCCAAGACCCCCTACACCCTAATTGTTCTTAGAGAAATTTGAATAAAATCTGGAGTGGGGAGAGCTGCTGAACACACAGGCATGGAAATATAGGAAACATGGAAACATATGCCATCATTCCCTTTTCACCACACATTTTCAGGCAACATGCACATCACTCAGGAGCAACACTAGGAACCCTGCATTTCTAGGTAGGCAGGGAACAAGGAACAGGGAATTACATCCCCTTATTTTTCGACTGAAATCTGTATAAGATTCCATGCAGGGTCCTCTTTCCATTAGCTCCTTGGAAGAAGAGAAAGTCTCACAAAGTTTCAGGTTGGAAATGTTGCACCAACAGAGAGCAGCTGAGTCACTGAGCTCAAGTGGGATCCTCCTGCCACTCCTTTACTGGCTTCTCTACCCTGGGGCAAGATAGTCTTCATTTACTTTGTCTAGGTTGTTTTTTTGTTTTTTGTTTTTTGTTTTTTTTTTTGTTTTTTTCTTTCTTTTTTTTCCCTCCTGTGGTACTAATGCTTCTGAAAGCAAGTGCCTAAGAGCACTTATAAGAACCAGGGTACTGCTCTGAAAACTCCCTCTTCCCCACCCGTAGCTTTGTGATGCTTCCCAGAACAGATCTGCAGCATCGTGGAGTTCTACACAGAGGTTTGCTGTATCCTGTTTGCTGTGTCATAGCCTGGCTTGCAACCCACCCAAAAGAAGACATGGAGCTCTGTGCCACTGATCCCCCAGGGCAGGGCCACTTAGTCTCCCTGTGAGCTGCCCTGCTTCCCACGAACTGAGTAGGCTTCCCAGCACCACCCTAAAAAGCTCCTTCCCTCCCTTCCACTGCCATTCTTGCAGTACCAAGACTGCTTCAGAAGACTGCCTAAATCTTTCTCCTGCCATGCAGATACTTCCTCCAAACCTGTTCTAGATCCTCACCACAATCCTGGCCGAACCCATTAGAAATGTGTTGTGATGATATCCTGCCCTTTATCCATGCTGAGCCCATGAAAACTCAGCATTTCTGCCCCTGCATGTTGCCACTGTCCCACATCTCCTTGACCTGGCATGCTACCTAGGGTCAGTATTTGGAAAGTAAGAAGGAATGGCCAGACCTCACCAGGGCACAGAAGGGTTTATCACCTACACCCCAAGGATGGATGTACCTGCTGTCCATGCAGCATCCACTTCAATATCACCCATTCTACTCCACTTCTCCTGGCTTCTGACTCCCTCAGGCAGCCTCTGTGACCAAGGATGGCTTTCTGGAGGAGGTACTCCCAGATTTTTCCATCACCCCCACATGGCTCCAACTTTCCCCCTTTTTCCCACATTTTCTGCTGTTCCTGTTCAGCTCAGCTCCCAGGTGAACATGTCACACTCAATGCCACCACATCACCCCTGAGAGCTGACCTGCTCATCGGCCTAATGGGTTTCCAGGGGGTGGGGGCGAGGGGAGGAGAGTGAGTGGCTGATGCTTCTCAGCCACTCAGCTCGGCCCAGAGCTAACGAGGCATCTCAAAATTAAAAAGTGAACTGCAATCCCCAGCAGGCCTGTCCTCCTTTTGGCATCAGCCAGAGTTCTCATTCTCTTTCAAAAAAAAAAAAAAAAAAGGACTGGGAAACTGTGAGTTGCATTTGGAGCTGTTGATGCACCACATCCCAGGTGCAATGGGGGAGCTGGGACAAGGGGGATCCTTGAATAAAGACAGCAGCACAAAGGTCTTTGGTTCTGCTGAAAATCCTTTCTTCTCCAGGGAAAGGAGGGAACATGAGCTGATTCCTGCACTCCTGTGCCTCAAAGCGAGCCTGGCGTTATGGATGGACTGGGGTCAGATCATGGTTATGCATAGAGTAATGGACCAAGGGTGTGAGGGTGAAAGTGGGGAATGTGTTCCTTTATGCCAGAAGGGAAGAGGAGCTGCTTTGCTCCCATCTCTCTGTCCAATTAGAGACTTTGGTCAGAGCTGTGCCAGCCTCACAACAGCCTTGTGCTGTTCCTCCTGGGCCATAGCTCCAACTAGGACTTACCATTCCACCAAGACGTCATCTTGGCCATTCATAACTCACCCTAAGTGGTCTTCTCAGAATGAGAGGTCAAATGGATGAAGAGTAATCACCTTCCCAAGCAAAGATGGCTTACACCCATCTTGCCCAGCATTCAAGGCATAGGCACTATCCTGGAGAATAGAACAGTCTTCAGGTCTCCTGGGATCAGAAGCCACTACAGGTTAGATGAGTCTTGGTGTGATGCCTCTAGATTTATCCTAGCAATGGATTTGCCCCAAAATCTCAGAGAGCTGGTGAGCTCTGGAGACAGCAATGGTGCAAGGAGACTTTCACCATTTTTCCTTGGGTGTACAAAGCTAATGATCTCCAGTTTTCAGACCCACCTCTCAAGCCATCTTTCCCTTACCTACAGATGCTGCAGAGGCAATTTTTCCACACAGAAGCTTATCCTCAAGAGCAGAGGGCCAGACATGCTAAGAGTTAGGGTGTCTCTGTGCACTGAGCACCAAAGGCACAATAATGGGTACTGCCAGAGGGGTATTTTGCACTTCCAAGCAGAGAGAAGGGCAAGAGAAAGGCAGCACTGAGACGTGTACCAGAATGGAGTCTACTGCTTTCTTTCTCTTGCTCAGCTTTAGCGAGGAAAATGCATTGTGTACTTTGGGAATTCAAGGTAAAATCAAATAAACTGCAATGGTTTCTCAAAAACATCCATTTTACAGTCAGAAAGGAGGCACTGCATGTTCAGCCCAGCCCATGCGCTGCAGACCTGGCAGTTCCAGTAGCAGCACCTGGACTGAAGGATGGGGTGGTGTGTCCCAGAGGCAAGCTGAGTGTCCCAGGGACTTGGGGGAGCAGGACCTCCACAGTTCCCCACACCCTTCTGCTCTGTTCCCTCATGCAGCCAGGTCACTTGCTGTTTTACTGTATCATAATAATCTCAGTGGCTTAGGAGATGGTTTTCCTCACCTTTTTTATGTCATCTCTGCAGTTCTCTCCTCCTCATAAAATGTGACTGCACCAATTCCTCTGATTGGGGCAGGCCAGCTAATAGGGGCATTTCACATTTCCCAGATAGACCTTGAAAACAATCCAGCCATATCTCACATCTAAAGGAGAGGAGGGAGAAGGGGGAATCCTGCTGTCTTGCATATGCTCACAAAGCCATACCCCACTGCACTGAAGCGACACCCAGCTGCACCATGGAGGAACAAGCATCACCCTGTCCCGCATCCCCTACTAGGCCAGTGCCAGCAGCACCTTGTGCTGCTCTTATGTCACCATGGTGACTTCAAAAAAAAAAAAAAAAAAGAAATACACAGCAATATTCCCTTACCCATGGTTTCAAGGAGATTTGGATCAAGCTCTTCAGGAGAAAATTCCTCCCTTGCCCTCCACTGAACTGACTGTGGCATCTCTTTCTCTCAAAAGCCCATAAATGAATCTGCTTCCCAGCAGTTGTCTGGAGAACATCTGATCTCCTTGCGCTAAAGCTCCCTCAGTCCCACATTCCTCCTCTTGAGGAGGAACTGGCATTACCCAGAGAAGACTGAAAACAGCCAAACGTGGCCGGTGAAGTGAGGAGTGCTCCAACACCCCCACCTTCTTGGGATGCTCTCTGACCATGTGATCAGTGGTGGGATCTCCAGTGCCTGCAGCTTTACAACAGATAGACCTCAGCAGTGCCCTGCAGTGTGACAATACCCAAGGATTATTTCATACTTCACCTCCACCACGGTGACGAAGAGCAAATCCCTTCCATTCTCCTTTGTGTTCACAGAATACAGGAGAGGAATTTGCAGATCCTTCCATCTCCTACCGAATGACAATGAGGCCAGAGGCTCTCCAGGTAATATTTTATCCCATATTGTCATTAAGGGGTACAGACCAACTGACAGCCTTGCCAGTGGACATTCCAACCCTCCACAGGGAAAGCAGCTATAAAATCTGGCACCATGAGCAGCAGAAGTTATGGAGATACGAACTGTGGTCCATGAGGGAGGAAAGTTCAGGGTAGAGAAAATCCAGAGTGTCTCAGCAAAATGTCCTCAGAAACAACCTATCATGAACAATCCCCCATCTGTTTGCAGACAGTGCAAATTCAGGATAGAGTTCCTCTTTTTTCTACGCTTCTCATCTCCAGTGGCACTCAGTAATATTGAACTTAGACCAGGAATGTTGGCCCATGCCCTGCAGAGCTCAGTGCTCGGTTGAGCTAGGGGCCAAAGCAGGCACTGGGGAGGCCAAGAAGCCAGGGATGGGGAAGGATGAGGAAGAGAAGGGAGGGCAGGGTGGGAAGAGAAGAGGAAGGAAACCATGGAAAAGAAGAAAACATGAGGGAGAAGGCAGGAGGGAGCGTGTTGCAGGGTGATGCATGGTGCAGGCAGGATCCCGTGCTCCGCTCCCCGTAATTGGCTGTCACCATACCTCCAAAGTCAGGCCTGAGGCGGACGTCATAGCCCTTCAGCAGTTTGTCCACAATCTCTTTCACCACAGAAATATTCCCAGTGGATGGGCTGAAATAAAAGGGAGAAAACCTTTGTCATCCTTTGTGCTCCCAGGCCCATGCATGGGGATCCCAACCAACCAGCTATATCACAGCATCCCTCATATCCCACAGCATCCCACAGGATCTCTTGCATCCCACAGGACCACACAACCTGTGCTGCGATCCCACAGCCCAGTGCACCCTGGCCAGCAACTCGCTTTTCTGGGTACCTTCCCCTGATTTCACACTGCACAACATGGACTGCCATGCTCTGATGTCCCTACTGCACACCTGCCCCCCAACACACAGCTGCGCTGCTACAACCCAGTGCAAGCTCTGCTTCCCTGTGCACCCAGATATGTCTTCATGCTATTCAAGCACAGGAAAAAGCAGTGTCATAACACACAGCCAATCTTTGCCATGTAAAAATTCGTTTTCTGCCACTCAGCATCACCATGGCTTCTTAGCAACGCGAATCAAGAAGCAGAGCTGGGAGGCAGGGTCCATCTTCTGCTATGTGTGCCAGGGCACAGTGCCTTGCCCTCCGGTCCCCTGACTGCCATGCAGGGCTGCCCCTGCTTCAGCAGTTTAAGCCCCCCCCAGCCATCTCAGTGAGAACAGTGCTCCCTCTAAAAGCAGCCTGTGAGGCAAAGCAAAACCAAAGGCAGGAGACCAGAATGCAGAGGATACTAAAAACATTGAGCCTATTCTATGTAGTGGGGCATATAGGTTCTGTCACCTGGAACTCAGTCCCTGTGCCACCCTCCATCCCCTGCTCTGCAAGAGAAATAGGGTCCCTGGCAGTAACAAACACTGCTCCTTACAGTCACCCACCAGAACAGCATGTCTCGCTGTCAGCACTGCCTCCCACATCCATCTAAGTCAAAGGAAAGCTGCACCATGGCACTACCTCTGCCAGCCATCCTGCACCTCACTGGACATCAGTGTCTGTCCTGACATGTCCGTGTGTCTGCACACACACACACAGGGCAGACTCTATGGGGCATGCATGGCCTTCTGCATGAGCACACAGACATCAGAACACTGGAGCTCAAGGCTACAGCTGTGACAGACGTGCACAAATACATGCATATGTGTGATGACATCCAGGTCTACATGGTGGGGACTACAGGTGCTCTGTTGTGTTGTGAGGACAAACTGGGGTGTGGACACAATATATGCAGGTGCACAGAAACAGGAATTGATGGGTACCATTGGCTGGGGCCAGGTTCTCTGTACATGAGTGGGTGGAGGCATGTGGGACTGGCAGGACTGGGCATGCAGTGAGGCTGTGGATGTGCAAGGATCTATCAGCCAAATAGTGATGTTCAGTGCAAGCCAGCACACCTCACTGGCCCAGCTTTGGTGCAGGCACAAACCCTTCAGCACTTGTGCCAGGGTTGTGACTGAGCTGCACTGCCCTGACTGGGCACCTTACAAAGACCTTACTTTTTCCTTGGAGAGCATTGTTTTAATCACTGTAAAAAGGCCAGAGAGTTTCATGAAGGTGTATGTTTTCACAGCACTGTGCCTGTGCTTGCAAAGGTGTTAACACCTGTGGATTTCTATGCAGGTATGCAAGTTTTTGCCATGCACTTTTGTATATATATTCACTGTGTTAGTGTCCATCGGCATTTTTCATTTCTAGATAGTCACTGCTGGGCACAAAGATTTTTATGTTCATAGGTCTCCATATTCAATATATAGATATAGTATGCGTTTCTCAGGGGGCTAGGCACTTCTGCCTCACACAGGACACGAGCTCAGGAAATTGTGATACTTCTTTGATATGGGCAAAGAAACCAAAGCAGAGAGAGCAGCCAATGTGTCAGGGGCCATGAGGTAAGGGGCAGAGGGGAGAAAGGGATAGAGGGACTTGTTCCTCCACATCAGTTGGCCCCGTGAGGGCAAAACCTGGCACTGTGATCAAGGGCATGGTTTCTTGTCTGTCAGTGCTCTTTTTGATCCCAAAAGCCACTTCCCTCATGCTGAGCAGGCAAGTTGTGCATTTGCCCAGCTGTGGGTGAGCAGCTGCATGTCAGTGCTATTCCTGGCAAATGTGGGTCTGCATCCGCCGAGGGAGCACATCCATCCAGCCTGTGAGCTGAATTTGTGAATTCCATGTCCCTGGCCATGTGGGTGTGCATGTGCTTCACATACACACACACACTTGCAGCCAAACATCTACATATATGCGCACTGTGCTATTGGAAGGAATGAGTGGGAGTAGCTGGAGGCATGTGCACATGGGAGAGCAGTTTTGTCCCCAGGATGTGCAGAGATGTGCATTGAGACTGTAGGTGAATGTCTGTCTGGGACATAAGCAGAAGAAATATACAAATAAATACACATTTCTGAGCACAGGCTGCTGATGTGAGCACTGCTCTTTACACATTTGCTTCTAAGCATGTCTCTGTGTGTGTCCATACACATTAGAATCATGCACAAATAGTGTGCAGAAGGTGGGCATGACTCTGCGCATGTGCATGCTTATAACTATGGGAACATAAATCTTTGTGTATATAGATATGCAAGCCTGTGCATGGAGCTGCATATGTGTGATGGGAATGCTCTGTTACCATGCACGACTGAGCATAGTAATGCCTCAGCTCCCACCGCAGCACACAGGTACAAACCCACCTGCCTGCATCTGTCAGAAGAAGGGTGAGGAGGAGCAGTCAGAGGGCTCCTGCGTGTGCAGGCAGCAGGAATGCCTGTGTCAGAGCAAACAGGTGTGCTCTGTACACCTTGTCCAGGCTGGATGGGTGCCTGTGCCTCTGGCTACTGGGATTGCTCAGAGTGCTCAAGGCATGCACCAGGAATAGCTGCAGCCTGGGCACGCAGGGAAGCAGTGCAAACATTGACATGGCTACACACAGAGCAGGTAAACCGTGCTGTGCTGTCCGTGTGTTGCCATGCACATGTGTGCAGCCAATCAGCACAGATGGATGCATGCATGCAGGGCTGTATCTGAGCCGGTTGCACCCCCAGATGATTATGTGGCATGCCATAAATCTGCGTGTAGGCACAGACGTAGGCATCGCCTCCTGTGCACTGCGGAGCTGGGCTCTGCTAACGGCACAACACGCCTGGATGTGATGTGGCTGCGTGTGCACCGTGTGTGTGCAACACAGGCATGGCCAAGGCAGCCCTGTGCCGGGTGCGTATGCACGCAGCTCGGCTCCCACGGACACCATATTTCCCAGCAAAATGCTTCGTTTTGTTGTTTTCCCCCCAGGTTGAACGGGAAAAGGGGGGGGGGGGGGCGGGAATGCGCTGCAAGTGGGCTGCGAGGTGGGCTCCGTCTGCAGCACATCGCATGTATGAGCATCCCTCCTCCCCCTGTCATGACACGGGCTGGGGAATAACAACAACAGGCGGTGGGGGAAGCAATTTGGGGAAAGGACCCCCTCCCCTTCCCCACACACAGATTGACGGAGAAAATCCCAAAGAAAACAAACAAGCCCTGTATCAGCACCCCAGTCCCTGCAGCCTGGGATCGCAATCCTTACCTTTGCGCACAGCAGGCGACACAAAGAGCTGCTAAAGCAGAGACAATTCCACTCAATCTGTCTGCCTGAAATGTCCACATTTCCACAAAGACGAAGGATGAAAAAAAAATCTTTGGAGGGGAGGGGAAAGAAGGATGGATCTCCTGAAATCCCCCTCCAAAGAAAGGGGGGGAGGGAAAAAAGAAACCAACCCCCCCCAGTCAGTTATTTCCTGGAGAAAAAGAATAATGAGAAAAACTAAAAAATGTGGGGGAAAAATATCCCCCCCCCCTCCTTCAGTGCCAGTCAAAGAATTCGTTTCTTCTTCCTTTCAGCATCCTTTCAACAAGAGACATCCTCTGGCAATGGAGAAAATCCCAAGAGAAAGAAAAATAAAATGCCCCAAAATGAGCTTAGCAAAATGTGAAATCGAATCTCACAGGTATGCAGATACGAAGGAGAAGAATGAAAGAAAAAAAAAAAAAAAAAAAAAAAAAAAAAAAGAAAGAAAAAAGAAAGAAAAAAAAAAGAAGAACTCAGTGTCCCTTGAGCACTCCACTTGGATTATTTTTCCTCCTGTTCTTTTGCCATCCGGTTCTGCAGATGTTGCATGGCTCCTGCTACCCACCTTCAGAGAAGAGGAGGAGGAGAAAGAGAGTGGTGTGTGTGTCTGCGTGTGTGTGTGTGTGTGAGGGGGGAGGTGTGAGTTATCAGCAGTACAATTTTATTCTGGATTTTATCTACCTGCTCCCCCCTCCCTCTTTATTTTCCGATGGGGAAGGGGAAGCAGTGACACCTCACTCTGCTGTTATTCTATTTTATGGCAAGCTCAGGCTAATCACTTGGATGGTTTAGGGCTTCTTTGAAAGGGTTAAAAAAAAAAAAAAAAGGAAAAAGGGAAAAACAAATGCAATCCGGTAAATAAATAAATACATATATGCATGTGTAAAAAATAAATAAATCCCTGTCTGTGGAAGGAGCCACTCTCTGAGGGAGGCTGGATGTCTCCCTAGTGCTGTTGCCGCAGCTCCTGTGGAGTTTTGCTGCTCATTGCAAAGTCAGAAGAGGAGGGGAGGAGAGAGGGAGTTTGGGGATGGGGAGGGGGACTCTCCAGGCAAACTGTGATCCTGACGTCATGGCTGACAGCATTAACTCCTGCTGGCTTGCAGAGGGGAGGGTTTTGCTTATTCCTGGGGAGATGGGAGCACAAGAGAGGATGGAGTTGTAGGCAGGGGGATGTGCCTGGACAAGGGTGGCTGAGTGCAGGAGCTGATGGTTTCCGAGGTTGTCTGAAATGGTGTGATCAGTGAAGGCTGGACTTCTTCCTCCAGACACGGAGATAAAGGAGAAGGTGATCTGCTGGAAATCCTTCCATGCCACAGGGCAGAGGGTGGTCTGATGGCCTCTTGGGGAGCTGAGGAAGGCATCCTGAGGTCTGGTGGGGCTGGAGGCATTTCCAGGCCAGGTAACTCCAGGTCAGTAGGGATGCTTAGTTTTCCCCAGGGGGTGTCGTCCTATGGGCATAAACAAAGTTTGGGGGAAGGGAGACAAAACTGCCAGAAGCACTGCTGAGGATCAGCTGCTGGTGCTATAGTTTTACCCACTGAAATGGTAACAGTCGTTGAAATCTTCAGTCACAATCTCCTGTGTATCAGCTTCTGATCTTTATCTTAAAAAAGTAATATTAAGTAATATTAAGGGGCTCTACCTCTCTAGATCAGGCATGGAGTGATGGATTTCCATGGAGAAATTTTTCTTAGGAAGAAGGAGAGCACAGAGCAGGGGCAGTACCATCCAAACCCTCCCACCAGCACCACCCAGGCAGGGGATGCAGGGGGAGAGCAGACCTTGAAGCAAGGCTCTCCCTTCCTCTTGCACCCCATTAGCACTGGCCAATACCTGTGTGCGGGTGCTCTCCAAAGCCCTCTGGGCCTGAAGGCAGAGTGGATGTGTAACTGCAGCTGGGCAGGGTGGGGATCAAAACACCCTTGAACATGAGGCAATGCGGGGTGGCAGCTGGGCAACACTCATCTGCAGGTTGTCAGTCCTTGAACCTGGAGAGCATCTCTGAGCTGCCCTTCTGCTCCACTGCGCCTACCAACCCACTGGGGCTGTCCCTTTGCAAGCCCTTGGGAAGAGAAGCAACCCAAACTGGTGGAAAATGAGCCCTCCTCATATCTCATAATACTCATGGCCTAGGGGCTCTTCCAAAGCAATAGGGTTTCCCTACATACTTGTTGCAGAAGAGGAACCAGCCCATCAGGTCTGAGCTTGTGCTTTGTCAGGTTCAGCCTCTAGCCAAAGATCAGCCACTTAAACCATTTCCACATGGCAGGTTTTCTCCTGTGTGGCTGCTCATGCTTCAAATGCAGTGCCTCACCCTGTGATGGAGGGCACAGGTATTGCTGCCATGGTATCAGGATCCTGTGATGTTTCCCCACGTGCAAACGTGCCACCAGGAGCCTGGAGTGTAGGAGGCGCTGCTCCAGCTCCTCTCGCTGCTTGCTGTCACACAGGTGCGGTATTAACCCCATCCACTGCTGCAGCAGTGCACAGGTCTCCTGACAGCAGCATGTTTCTGAAGCACTTGTTCTGAATTAAGCTGCTGGGTACCAGAGAGGAGCTCCTGGGAGAGATGAGAAGCCTTTGTCTCTCTCAAAGCTCTGGGCACCAAAGGTCCCATTTAGCTCCACTATGGGCCATTCCACTCCTTCCTTCTCTGGTCCATTAGCAGTGTTCCATTCCACCAAATGTGATTGCATGTTACTGGCAAAAAGGTAAGTGGAAAGCAAATGTCAGGGGCATACATGAAGGGGAAAAATTATGCTCACAAATGGTGACATTTGTGCTTGCAAGTTCACCCAGTCGGGAGCAGAAACCGTATCACATGAATTATCTGACCGTTCAGCCACAACATGGAGCTTGGGAAAGCCAATTGCTTAGCAGCAAACGCATTCAAAGACACCATAGTATGCTCTTGAATAATCTACCTGAAGCCATGTTCACAAATAAATGAATGCTCTGGAATTAGTCACCCATCTCTGCTGAGTCTCATTAAGACAGACGCACATTTGATACAGGAAGATGCTCACTGAGGAGTTTGTTTCTTCCCCTCCAGATGACAGGCAGCCTTGAGACCCCCAGAACCCCAAGAGCCGGGTCTCCCTCCCCTCCTCAGGGGCTCTCTGCTCTCCAGAGAGAGCCCAACAGTCTTTATTTCTGAAGTTCATGTTCTGAGTAAAAAGAGAGCCACTGGAGGCTGCTGGAGTTGGCACGCTGTGACTGCAATCATCCTAAAGAGGCCATGGAGGAATTTGTTCATGGCTGTCCGTTGTCCTCTGTTATTAAATCATTCATTTGAACTACCCTCCTACTTGTTGCTCTGCTGCAAGCTCTACACCATAACTTTTTTCTCCTATGGACACCCCTGTCTCCAAGTCCCACAGTCACAGTGTAATAGCACTGTGCCAAAAGTATCTACAGATCATGGCTTCTGGTCTATAGCTACCATGGTGCATGGTGTCCTATGGTTCAGCACTTGCTAGGTGCTCATCTGTCTGCTACTTCCATCTTTGGGTTTGTGACATGGAGGGAGAAATCAGTGCTGTCCTGAGGAGTCTGTAAAGTAGAAAAGCAGTGAATCAGATTACATCTACCTTTCTGTAGAAACAGGGAAAGAAAGAGAAAGCAGGGCTTTGCCAGCACCAGGGCATATTTCAAACCTCTTCTCCAAGCACACAGATGCATTTAGCAAATGGAGCTTGGATAGATATTTCTGTAGAAATATCTACCACATCAGTAAATACCATAATTAGAACTAGCACTAGGGAGCATCCAAAATGAATCTCTACCAGTACCACTTAGCTGTGTCACCTCTGGCCCTGAGGAGCTGTTGTGGCAGGGGGAACAAGGAGCTCTTTCCCTTGCCATCACAGTTATCAGCTAAGTGCCACTCCTCCCCAGGGTTTGCCATCAAGGTGGAAAATCTTACTGGTCTCCATGCACTGCTGACAGGACGGGACAGGGCTGGCCCTTCTGTCAAACCAGCAGCTCCCTGAAGAACACGGTTATTCTCCCAAAGCAGAAAAAAATAATCATCAACAACAGCAATAAAAAAAACCAAACCCAATCAATGACAACAACAACAACAACAAAACAAGAATCAAGAGAAGAGAAAACAAAGCAAATTGGACACAGAACCAGAAGTGCTACTGATCTTCTTGCACAGAAGACGAAAAACACCCCACAAATACATGAAGTATACTTCGTGATGTGGAAATAGGGAAGGGCAGAGGTAAGGGAATGTTTCCTGCCTTGTGTAGGACATGGCCTTCTCTTCCTGCATTTGCTGCAGCTGCACCGAGGCCTGGTCTCAACAAGACAGAAACCTTTGGCTGTTACATCTTGTGGGTTCCTAGCAGAAGAGGTTTTCTTCAAGCCCTTCCACAGGACAAAGTTTCTACCAGCAATTATAGTGCCACGTAATCACCTTTGTATGTCGGCCCTGGATGAGAAGACCACCAGGACTGATGTTGCTGACAGAATCAACAACTGCTCGAACAGCTGGGAGCATCATTTTTTGGCAACTATGTGTCCTTTAAGCCACAAATCCCAGCTCACATCAGCCCCAAGAGTGTGGACACACCATATGCTAGATGCTGTATATTTCTAAGCAAATATCCCAAAGGCTTAGTATATATCCAGGGTTCCCCATCTTTGCTGAGTTAAAGATCCTTCATCTTGCACTTCTGCAAGATAGTGCAGAATTCTCAAGAGCGAGCGGAAATGTTTGTTATTTTTAGGAACTGTGAATGGGTGAACTGGTGAGCTGAGCTTTGCGTGCAGCAGTGTATCTTGCCTGTGCTCAACTCTCTTTTACCAGAGGATGGAAACTGTGGTGGGAAGGCAGAATGAATTCTCAATGGAGGGGAGTTCACACGCTGCCTTCCATTTCAGCCGTCCTTTATTACAAGCCTGCAGACCAGTCTAGTTTGAAAAATGGTACAACCAAAGGGAGGTCCTTCAATTCTGGTTGACAAAGTGCTGGGATAGTTGCAGTTATTGAGAAGTTTTAGCTCCTACATCTATGATGAAAGAACAG